GATACTGTCCCCATTTCCCAGGCTCTGGCAGGAATATGGTTGGTGCACAAACTTCCTTGTGGTGGTCTGTCAAGAAAAGTTGCCCTGGAAACTTTACAGCTTTATTCTGCTGCCTGGAATCCTGCTTGTGCTTCACTCTTGCAGTAACATGCTTCCATTACTGCAGTGGGGAAATACACCTGACCTTTCCAGGCTGTGTCCAGTAAGTTTGGAGCCAGCAAGTGAATTTATTCACTGCTACTTTAAGCCAGCACCACAACAGGCAATCAGAAATGCTCAACAAAGGTTGGTGGTGCAAAAACCAGAGAGCTCTGCCCTCACTGAGCAATCCCTTCAGAAACGTGGAGTGCAGGAGGGCTGTTGGCTATTCCAGCCTGTACCTGCATGATCAAGAACAGCTAAGGTGGGCATTGAACATAAGACATAATTGTTTTTTATTCCACTCATTTCCTTGCAAAACAGCCATGGAGGGGAGCAGCCACCGGGCTCTGAAACTAGATGCAGCTGCTCTAGATGTACATGCTAATTGCTACTTTGCCATGCTAGGAACCCTCTTGCTCCCCCACATCAGTGACTAACTCCAGCTCTGCCTGGGAAACCAATCTAACCTTGTAAAATGGTCATGAGTGCAGGCAGGGACACCTCTTCCCCCACCCTTACCAGGATGCTGCTGAGAAAAAAGTCACATTTTACTTGGCTGAGCACGGCTGTGCTTGACTCCACTTCGGAGCACTCGCTGGCCCGCTAGGCTGCCTGGGCCTGGATTGTGAATCCTTCCTGGTGCTGGCTTAGAGGCTGCTGCACAATGGGATGCTATTCGGCCCGACTGCACTAGGAACACCCCGAGCTCACAAAGTCGCCTGTCTTGTATTTCCTGCAGGGCAGAGTTATGACGAGACTGTGGACATCTTCTCGTTTGGGATTGTTCTCTGTGAGGTAAGTCCAGGCCACACTGGGGTGTCTAGTGCGTCTGAGCAAGAGGGCTTCCAAACCTCACCGGGGTCCTGTCCTACCTCTTCCTCTCCATACGCAACAGAAGGCAGCTCTGTGTAGCTGAGTCTGGGTTCCTGACTCAAATGTACTGTGGCTAGGACTAGTCTGGAGAGTTGCACCTTGCATGCCCATCTCACTCCCCTGAGTGTGGGGGTGGGAGGGAAGACGGCACTTACTGCTCTGTTGGTGCAGTTCCTGCCTTAAACTTAGAACTGGTGCTGGGAAAGAGACAATCTGGCTCTAGCGCAAAAATGTTGGGATTTAGGTGGCATCTTCCAGCAACCTGGGAGCTTAGAGCGGAGATTCCTTCTCCCTCCTCCTGAACCCTGGGTCTTCAGCCTGTAATTAGCCATGGTAATTCAGGGTCTTTGTAAGGGTGAGATTTGACACCTAAGAGGTGGTCAAAATCTGTCTGAAGGTGAAAAGTGGGGCTTAATTCGCAGATCCTGCTTCTAGAAGGAATGTGTCTGATCTGGCTGTACAGCGACTTCTCTGCCCCACTCCTGCTGTATGTAGAAAATAGGCCATCTCTTTTCTTCATGATATGAATGTCTGATACAAATCCGAGAACCAATATCCTGTGTGCCTAAAACTTCTCCCCACCTCCTTCCCTTGCATCACCAGCCAGATGTGCATTACATACAGATTGTTCCCAAAGGAAAGCACAGCCTTTTAAAGTGCCCAATGTGTATAGAAGTGAGAGCAATCGGGGGTGGCAGGGAGACCCGAATTGGAGTTTTCCTCTTAATGCTTGGGTGGAGAATATGAAAAAAATGTCTCATGCATGAATGGTACGGCCTCATCTAGAATACTGTGCTGGTAACCAGTGTTCCCTCTATTTTTTTCCATCCAAGTGCAGAATTAATTTTATGTGCACCAATATCGAGGGGATGTGTGCCACCAGTAGAAACAAAAAACCTAGATATGATAGATATTTGTTAAAAGTTACCATTGGGATAATTACTCCAGCCAGAACAGGTTAGGTATTTTAGAACTCACTACTCAATTAAATTTAAGCCTGCGAGAGAAATAAAATTATGAAATGCATAGACCAGTCAAAAAACTAAAATAACAGCGCTTTGAAAGAATAAAATTACAGAGAACATATATGTGCATTGCAGGAAGTACCAAGAAATAACACAAGTATGTGTTGGGATGTGTCAGAGACAGTGCGTATGTGCTGGCTGCTGGGGAAGTCTGAGACACTGTGCTCTGTCTCTTTAAGGCGCTCAGCAGCTGAGCTCTCCTGCTCCTGAGACCTGTCCCTCCTGCCCTGCTCTGCAGAGATGGGGTACATGGGCTGGAGGGATGGGGACACCCTGACATCAGTGCTCCCCTATGCCCGCTCTGCACAGCAAGCAGGGGGATCCCAGGAGCAGCTGGCCAGGGGCTCCGAGAGAGAGGGCAGGAGCAATGTGGCTGCAGAGCAGTGGGGGGAGGGGCACCTGAACACACTGCTGTGTGTGCATGGCACTTGATTCACTCCTGGGTGGCTGTGCAACTGTGCAGCTTAGAGGGAACACAGCTAGTAACCCATCTTCAAGGTTAGTGCAAAATTGCAGGTGGGGTTCAGAGAACAGTAGCAAGAATGAGTAGGGGCCTAGAAATTCTTATAAAGAGGGATTGAAAAAAGTTGGTTTGTTTACCTTAGAAAGGAGACACATAAGAGGAAACATGATAGATAGAATATATATGATAGAGAGGTTCTCTTCCTCCCATCTCATAACTAACACAAACACACACCCATTCAATGAAATTGAAAGTTAGAAAACTCAGAAGTGATAAAAATAATTTTCTATAAAATGCACAATTAGACTGTGGAACTACTTGCCACATGATGTGGTTGTGGTCAACAATTTGGTAATATTCAAAGCGGGATTGTATTTATATGGGTAACAAGAACATCCAGTTAGCATAAAGTATTGGAAGAGAAATAAAACCTCATGTTTCAGGTCTTAAATCAATCTAGGTGTTGGGGATTAGGTTGAGACCTTTGTGGGGGGCAGATTATCACACATCTGCCTGTTCTGGGGTTTGTTGCACATTCCTCTGAACCATCTGTTGTTGGCCACTGTCAGAGATGGGATTCTAGACCATATTGACCACTGGTCTGACCCAGTCAGGCAATTACATTCCCAGGCTTTGACTGGTGGCCTTCTGTATCCAAGGTGACTGGTAGAACTCAGTGCAAAATGTGTTCAGTGTTAGAAGCCCTTAGATAGAGGCAGAGAACCTAAGTAGTGTCCTGTGTATTCTACAGTCTTCTTCCCCATTTCCTTCCTCTGCTTGGGTTTCCCTTCTGAGATTTTTGATTGGTCCCCATAATAATGTGTTTGATGCACAATTTCTTTCCCTCCCTCCTTTGTCACCTTCCTGTTGCCCCTGCAATGTACTTCAGAGCTCACTGCAAATCTCCACTTGCCTTTCCCCAGCTCCCTGGCATGTGAGCTGTGTTGGGGGAGGAGGGTTTTGATAGCATAATGACATCATGGAGGGCTGTGAGCATGCTATAAGATGTTAATACCCTGGGAGCAGAGGAATTGCTTCCTACTTCAGTGCATGGATTGATAGTGGCTAGGACACTGCCCAGTCTGCACTAAAAGCTAAGGTTGTATTGTACCCCTTGCAGCAATACCCTAGGGAGGTGGGAATTGATGTTGGGCTTGATTTTCCTCTGCCATACCAGGGAGAGACCTCTAGGGTCAGCCCCTGTACTGCCTGTGAGGTTTGCCTGTATTAAATGGTGTTGCCTTGATCCTCCTTCATGCAACAAGCCCTTCTGTAGCTGGGGCCTGGTACAATTCTAGCTCTGCTCCCCCTGCCCTGTAATCAGACACGAATTGTAATGTTTCCAGTGAGCCAGCCTAGCTCTAGAGACTGAGCAACCCCCACCGGCTAGCCCTCAGCTGCTGTCCCTGCTGCTACAAACGCTGTTCCTGAGCAGTTCTTTCCCCTCTAGATCATCGGGCAGGTGTATGCTGACCCTGACTGCCTCCCTCGCACACTGGATTTTGGCCTCAATGTAAAGCTGTTCTGGGAGAAGTTTGTTCCTGCCGATTGCCCTCCAGCCTTCTTCCCTCTGGCTGCCATTTGCTGCAGGCTGGAACCAGAGAGCAGGTAAGGGGTGTGAAATGCCGGCTAACCCCTAATCTCTGGTTCTCTTCTGTGTCCAGTTTGTATCTTTGCTTCTCTTGGGCTGGAGATTGCCCTCTCCTCCTGCCCCCACTGGGAAGGTGTTGCTCTGCAGAGTGGGTCAGAGTGGGATGGGAGGTATGCGCTAATATCCAGGGCACTTCGGTTGCTGTGTCCTCACTTCATGGAGGAGTTTTTTGCTGCTGTCTTCCTTTCCCCCATCGCTGTCCCAGGAGCTAGTCCACTGCTGTCCTATTGACCCTGTCTTATCATTTCTTTCTAGGCCCCCATTTTCAAAGCTGGAGGATTCCTTTGAAGCCCTTTCTCTCTACCTGGGAGAACTGGGCATCCCCCTCCCTTCCGAGCTGGAGGAGCTGGACCACAATGTGAGCATTCAGTATGGGCTGAGCCGTGACAAGCTACCTGAAAACACAACCTAGGCGGCTCATCCTGTGATCCGTGCTACTTTCCATTGGATCCTATACGCGTGGTGTGGAGGGGAGATGTACTTTGGCCACCTGCAGGGCATTCAGAGGGCACCAACTGCATACTGGGTGCATCACCTCTCCCTCCCCCATGAAACTAAACCGCCATGTCTGTTTGATCTCCTGGTTTCACTGTGGATTTATGGCACATTTTTGCAAGTGAAAAGGGCTATTTCCTGCCTGCTGCACCAAGGAGAGCTGCTCAACACAACACAATTCTTTGGGGCCTGTCTGGCTTTGATTCACTGTGGTGCCTTAGAACTTGACATGTGACTGTAAGCTGTGAAATAGTCCTGGCCTATCTGCCAGGAAGGGAATCACTATAGGAAGTCTCCTTTGTTAGGAACTGCTTTTCTGGAATCACTTGTCCCAGACTTTTTAGTGACTGTGCTCTCCTTGGAAGACCTGGAATACACTAGAACTGGGAAAACCAGGCACCTGGCAAAGGGCTTAGTCAGGGACTCCCCTGCTTTTCTACATGTCAGGGTGGGAGTTCCCGAGCTGCCTAGGGGCTGGGAGCTCTAGGAATTGAGGGGAGCTTGAATGAAATGGTTGTGGTATCATGTCTGTGGGTAGAATTTGTCTGTTAGCGTAGTTCACCCTCCAAGGCCCTGTTCAGAAACACTACAGCCAGTGAAAACTGGGCTTTGCTCACCCTCCTGATGTGAATGAGGCTGTGCTCTGAGTCCAGAGGGTAAGAAGGGGGAGACTGAGTGGTTCTCAGGTATGCTTTTAACTCTACCAACACCTTCAGCTACTGAATCCACACAACCAGTCCCCCAGGCTGGGACCTCAGAGCAGGCAAAAGGCCACAAGTCTGAATGCCCAGAACTGCAGCAGCACTCTGATCCTGCTGTGCTGTATAAATGGGAGACTTGTCCCCAAAGAGCTTGTGCCTGTTTCTGGGCATTTGGCCTGGTGCAGTGAGACACATGCCTCATAATGGTGGCAGAATATACCTGGTGCAGAGCTGAATCGCTCTATGCTGAGGCATTTGGCTTGGACTAGGTGAGTGTTGTTTGACATGGATAACCCTCATGAGCGGAAGGAATTTGAGGACATGCTGAAAAGGTTACTCAAGGACAGATGCTAGTGAATTGGAGTCTCATGTCTTCCGTCCTCTGCGTGTACTAGTTGGAGGATTTGTAATTCAGTAGCTATTACTGCCCTTCTCCAGCAAGACCTGCAGTGGAGGGGAGTCCCATAAGTGTCTCTGCCACTCAGTTATCTATTCTGGAGCTCCTGACACAGAACTTGGTCTCATTCTCCAAACAGAATCCTTCTCCAGAGTCATGCCATGCATGGAGGGAACAGAGAGCCTGGGGAGGGAAGGAGGCAACATACTCACTGAGGCTTTGAACTGGGGCATTAGAGGGAAATGTAGGAGGAAGGAAACCGCTTCCCCAGTAATATGTGGCTGGTGCTACCCAGTCAAAGGCTGGCTGCTGAGTCCACTTGAGTTCCATGCCCTCTTGGTAATTACACGGGACCAGCCCTCATGTCTGTCTTAAGTTGGTTGTGTTTAATTTGTATGGTGGTGGTTTTAGAAACAGGAAAGTCCTGTGCTGTGAGCCAGTGGGGGAGTTGTCAATTGGGTCCGGTGGATTCAGGCCTTCTGATTGTTACAGGACTTTCTTCCTACTACTTAGTAGGATGGGGAAACTCAAGGGAGGGCGACCTGGGTGATGTGTGGGTGGGGAGTCTTAACTCCGTGTGATTGCACAGCACAATGTTTGTTGACTAAATTAAAAGCAATAAATATACCCTAGGGACATAAGGCTGTTTGTCTGCTTTTGGAGCTTATAAAGAACATGAGGCTGCCATACAATGGGACCCCTCACTCAGCTGTCGCAGGCCTGCAGCAGGGCATCACCAGGGACGTCCAACTGGTAGCTGCAGACTGACTTGACTGAGCAAGGGCTTTGTAGAAGGTTGGGCTCTGATGCCTGACCTCTGTGCAAATCCTCTACAGAACTGCCTTTAGCTGGGGTAATGGAACAGGTGGCAGTGATAGCAGCTACTGTCAGGCCTAGACTTAAAAATAAAAAGCATTTGTCCTGCCAGCCAGTGTAACCTCCTGACTGTGTTTACACGCCAGCCTTTCCAAAGCAAGAGCCAGAGGACCTGCGCTGCCTCTGAGCAGGAAGTAAAACAGACTCCACTTGCCTCAGAGCAGAAAAGGAATAATTAGATCATCTCGCCACAGGCCCAGCCTGCTTGGTCACAGTAGCTTGTTCTGGGCTAGTGAATAGACAGCTGCTTTTTTAGACATGCTCTGCTCCATTCTAATGCTGGACTTTGCCAGTATGTCTACAGCGTCAACATCCCATGGTGTTAGCTCTAGGTGAAGGCATGTTCTTCTCTGAAGTGCGGCGGTGAGTGTGGTTGTCTCTCTCTCTTATGCAGGCTTGGGTTGTAGCTCTCAATGGGTATGTCTAGACTTACTTCCTGGTCCGGATGTAAGCAATCGATCTTCTGGGATCGATTTATCGTGTCTTGTCTAGACGCGATAAATCGATCCTGGAAGTGCTCGCCGTCGACGCTGGTACTCCAGCTCAGCGAGAGGAGTACACGGCATCGACGGGGGAGCCTGCCTGCCGCGTCTGGACCCGCGGTAAGTTCGGACTAAGGTATTTCGAATTCAGCTACGTTATTCACATAGCTGAATTTGCGTACCTTAGTCCGAAGTGGGGGGTTAGTGTGGACCAGGCCAATGGAGCAAAGGGTGAACTACAATGGCCTTAATTATTCTTTCCTTTCACTGCTTTGCAGTTTAGGGGGCCTTGCCTGGGTTTGAATAATGCTGTTAGCCTGCTTGTGCGGCTACGTGCCCTGAAGGAGCTGAAACGTGTTCAGAAAGGCATCCTGAGCTGGTCCCATTTCCTACCTGTGAGCTACTTCTTCAATTGAAGCCCACACAGGTTTCCAGAGAACCTTTTTATTTTCCTTTTTAAGCTTTAATACAAGGTAGCACGATCTGCATCTTTATTTTATTATGAGGTATTTAAAATATTTACAAAGAAATGGTATTCAAAGGCTTTTAAAAAAACATTTTCCCTTTTCTGTACCATCTTAAACATCAACACTTAATCTCTACTCCATAAATCTCCTTAAAGTAGATGGGTAGAAAACCTTATTTGGATGGCTTGAACCCTGCTGCAAAGATGGGGATGTGCATTTCTCTGAATTAGTCCTACACAGATTATGAACCACCCCACTCTGAGAACCAAGTGCTTCTTGCTCATATACGTGCCCTAAAATCTTTATCTAGATGGGCCAGTTTGGATAAACAACCCCTGCAGTGTGACCTCTCCTGCAGCCTCTGCAAGGGACACAGAACAGCATGCACCAGGCCTTGATGTCCCTGCAATAGGGCAGCTGTTTTATCTTTCCAGTTGCATTCACCCTAGGACTGGTTTAAACTCTTGGTTGCTGGAAATACACCTCCCTGGGGAAAGTCTGAAAGGAATTCAGAAATGGCTACTATCCCTTTAAGCAGCAAAGAGTACTTGGCCACTCTCCCTGAAGCTGAGTGAGGGGTTGTCTACCTTCCCTCCACTTTTGAAATACTCCTGCTCCTCTCCTGCCCTAGCAGACAGCCCAGCTCGATGCTCTGGAACCAGGCTCCTGTTGTACCAGCCAAGGAGAGTGGGAATGGGTCCTGGGCACTGGAAGACTTTGCTTTATGAGCAGCTGGAGCGAGATCTCTTAAGCAATGCATTGGGGCTAACCATCTCCCTCCCCTTTAACCAAAACCTTCTGTCTCCCAGCTGAAACCGAGCTCTTCACTTGCCCATACTGATAGTTGGCAGTTGACTCTTCCCCTTCTCTAAAAGAAATTTGCCCAAGACAGCTTTTCTCCTATTAAAGTAAAATGTAAAACTACATTCATAGTCTACATAACCCTGCTGTAAAGCTCCCCCCTGTCTGATACTGCTGCTGCATCAGCTTACAGGCTGAAATGCATCTAACACTTGTCAAAAGGGAAGGGAACAGAAAAAGAGGATGTTGAGAGTTCCCATTCTGAAGTGTGGGGCTACACTGGCACATTGCTAGCTTGGGAAACCACTCCCCCTCCACTGCTGTAGTAATGCCTGGAGATGAAAGGGGTTGCACCAGTCCCCAGGTGGAACAAGTCCTGCTAGCCACACAATGAACCGCCCCATTTCAGTGCATCTCCAAGTCCTGTCATTTGCTGGAATTCATCAACAAAAAAATACAAATGAACCCCCCACTCCCAAAACAAGAGACTGGGGTCTTAGCCTCAATCATTTCAACCTGTGCCTCTCCTGACCCTAGCTCCTCAGGCACCAGGAGTACCTGCCTGGCCTATGAGAGGTGCATTGCCATCATGTGCCTCCTCCACAGGGGTCTGGTTGGTGTGCACTTCTATCGTGTTCTCATCCACAAGCTCACAGGCCTGGTTCGTGAAGGCAGAAAGTGGAAGGGTGATGCGCTGCATTTCCCGCTCATAAACGTTCTGCTCGTGCTGCTCCTTCAAGTCTTTGGCCCTAGAAAGAAAACCAGAACAGATGTGCTGAGTGCTGACTGCAGTAAGGTCAGTCCCTACAAGTGGGCACTGGCCCAAAGGAGCTGCAGCAGAAGGGAAGAGGCTACTGCTCCAACAAAAGACCAGACCTTCAACAGGAATGTGAGATGCTGGGTTTTTCCCCAAACTTCCAACTCCAGTGGTGAAAGCACCCAGGCAAACAGAGCCAGGTGGGGTGTGGGGGGAGGTTTGTATTCATCCAGTAATACAATATCATGGAGGAATCAGGTTAAAGGTTAGAGCCAGTCCGCTCCCACCTGTCACTGGACTCAAGGCCCGGACAGTAGCTATGGAAACACCATGTGACAGCTATCTGGATTTTAGTTTATAGCTCTGGCTTGAGTCTCTGTAACATGCAGGACTGCTGAGTCAAAGCAGGAGCTACCCCTGTTTAGAGAAGCCATTAACTGTGAATGGTAGGAAAGGATGCAAGAGCTCTGGGTGGTGGCTGGCACTTGCACAGGTGAGGAGGGATAAACACACACTTTAGGCAACGAGTATCTTCCAGAAAGCAAACTGAGTTAATGGCACTGCTCAGAGTAGGTGTGTAATGATCTTATGTGCCTGCTGTGTTCCAAAGAGACTTGTTTCTCCAAACTACCTCACCCTTCACATGATAGCAAGGAAGGTGACACGTCTTCAGTGTCTGGTGCCAAGAAGTGGCCTTTTTTTTTTTAAAATGAGTGACAGTTATTGAACTCTATAGCGAAGGTAATTAATGAGAAACCAACCAGTTTTGTTTTTTATTTTTAAGACAAGTGCGACATGCAAAATTGAACTCTAACTGGGAAGCCAATTCACCTGAACATGGCTAGCTGAAAAGGGAAAAAACTGAAGCATCCAGTGCTGACCCTGTGTGAAGCTTGAACGTGAGCTATTTTGAATTAAGGGAGGGGCTACTAAGTGTCAAGCCTCCCCAAAATCCAAATCTTCTCACAACAAAGACAGTCCTGGCAGAGCCAGGCCCCAATTCAATGGAAGTCTGGTGGATCAGAAATTACATTTCAGACTATACTCTGCTTCAGCCCTGGAGTAGCCAGCTCCCATTCAAGGGGCTAGAACAGCTTCCAGGGTTTACTGCCAGACAGTTCTAGTGCAGTCTAACGTTCTTTCTTCCCTCCACCCCCGCCAGTCATCTCTATCTATCTTCACTAGTACCCTGAATCATGCTCATTAGCAAGTGCTAGATTCATGCTCTAACCTTATGTAACAATGTTGGAGTCTCTGCTGTCCAAGCTTGCTGATGCATCTTATGTAAGGACTTGGCTCAGCCTGGGAGGGACTCATTCTGCTTCACTAGGAGAGGTTGGCAGCTAGCTACAAGAGTTAAGCCCTAAAGCAGGGATGTGATAATCGCTCTGTGGCTGTCTGTCTGGAATGCTATAGACAAACTGCAGGCTTGATCAGCCGGTCAGGTGCACATGTAACTCTGACTGAACTGAAGGGGAGTTGAGTATGTGCAGCTGTCAGGCTAACTGGGCCATGCAATTCAAAGGACACATTTAGGAAAGGGAAAGAATTATGATTCTACCCTGTTTTCACTCAAATAGATGAAGGCATAAACACGAAAGGGAGCGATGGCTTCGACTGCCATGAGTAGGAAGGGGAAGAGTGGGCTCAGGCCAGGGAAGACATAGAACAAAGGGCAGGTTACTGGGGTTTGGGTGTTTGTTTTTAAATACAGCTGTTATTACGGTCTCACTGTGTTAGGGCCTAATCCTATGAGGTACTTAACTCCCACTGATTTAACAGAGTAGCCAGTGCTTATGACTCGCAGATGTGCTGCCAGGTCCATATTGGGGAATCACAGGCAGATTGGCCAGTGTTTCTACATAACTGCAGCCCTGCCAAGGCCTCTGACCTGCAATCATGGAAGGAAATTCCAGAGCTTAATAAATCTTGTTTCTGAAAAGTTTCACAGGGCAAGTAGTGAAAGCTCCGTCAATCAAGACATAAAAAACTATACGGTGCAGCATCCTGGAGGCTATACTTCAAGGGGAGTGGGCTCCTCCACTGGCCCTGAGGGAGGGAGTGTTATTATGGGACCTAATACCTCTGTGTTTAAATGAGTTCCATCGAGGCTATGACAAGACCAGATCTCACAGCACCATCACCACCACCAATGTATAAGAGCCTACCCTTCTCAGAGTCCTGCATGAACTGGGACTTAGGTGTTATCTATAGTAGCTCAGAATTTCCTGACTTTTATAGGCCTGTATCACAGCCACAATGCAAACTCTTGATCCAGAGACTACTTACCTTTTGTAGATGTAGCCCACAACAATGCCAGCTCCAATGGCAATGATTATCACCATCATGATTAAGGCCATCACATAGCCTGTGGAAAAGGAGCAGAAGCAACAAAGTTAGGAACAAGGCAGCACCTCAGCCTCTATGTACAGCAGTGGCTTTAGGGTTCAGAAAAGAAACATCCTGTTGTAGTCCCACTGAGGAATCTAGAGAGTGTTCCTGGAGGTCATACCTAATGTTCCCAAGTCCTTCTTTTCCTTGGAGTTCATCCGGACTCTCTGACTGATCCCAATGACGGGCTGCACCGCAGCTGCCTCGCTCCGGGCTGGTAAAGTATCAGCTGGTTCAAATACCTGGTCTATCCCCGGAGATACCTCAGCCGCAACTGTAGGGACCAGAGTCTCTGTGGAGGAGGTAACACCTGTTGGGGAAAAAAAATACATTAAAATATTAAAGTGTGTCACCAAAGTTTCATAGCAACAGCTATCTTGTGAATGGGGCACAAACCCATCTCAGACCCAAAACCCTGGGACCTTCCTCATCTTAGACTGACAAATACTCCCACTCCCCCTTAGATGTTACAATGCCTCCCTACAGATGGGAGAAAACACACACACTTTTCAGTTCAACTGCTGCTAAAGGTCAAGAGCAATCTAAGCAACTGGCAGAGCAAAGCACCAAAACAGGAGTAAGAGAACAGAGGTGAGAACTGAACCCAGAGCATTAATCAAAGGGCCACCAGGTAAATCCATTTGTAGCTCAATATACAGAGGAAAAAAAAATCACACTGAACAGCAATGACCAAGCTGATCAATATCCCCATACTGAACTCTTGCAGGAGCCCCCGCTGTTGTTCTATTTCCCTCCTGCCTCAACATTCTTGAGCGGGAAAGGCCTGCGTGGGATTGGTCTATGAAAGAATTTAAATCCATCACCACTCTCTTATTTACAGCTTGCTACCAAACAGCCCTTGTGAAAGAGTGAAGGGAAGAGGGGGAGCACTCGCTCTGGGTCCACCATCTAGCTCACCTTTCATATTCCTGACAAAAGCTAAAGGGGGGGGTCAGCTCACGGCACTGGCAATATAAACCTTTCACATCCTAGTAAAGCATCATCCATGTGTCTCACTAATCTTCATATTCCATTTCATACGACTACTGTGGAGTAACGAAGGCCATACCAGCAGGACACACTTCTACTCCCTGTCTGACCTAGCCCTAGACAAGAAAAACTACCTTTTTGGAGGAGACCCTCACACTCACTATGCTGCCATGACTGAAAGCCACCCTCCATAGAATCTTTTCTATGGGTCTCAGAACCCCCATCCCACACATATGATGGCAACGTTCCTTCCTTTAGGCATTTTTCCTTGGAGCATTTTGATTCAATACCTCCAGAGTCTGTGATCATCCAGACTGACTTCCCGTATAACATAGACCATAGGACTTCCTTGAATTAATTTCTCTTTGAACTATAGCATATCTTTTAGAAAAAAACTATTATGTGATTCGGGGGGGAGGGGGTGTTGGGTTGGTAACAGGCAGGAGACCACCAAGAAATAAGGGTCCCTCTGCAGAGGGATGTTACTTCACACAGTGTCTTTCAGAAAAGAAGAGCATAGGATCTGGCAGGAGCTATCCCTGGGGAAGAGAAAGCAATGGGACAGGCCCTTCCCCGGGCAGACACACCACAGCAGGGAAGGTGGGTTTAATCTGACAAAATGGCTGAATCCCTGGCAACTGCACCAATTGCTCAGCATATTGGCTCCCAATCCCAGGCAGTTCCCCAGGCCTAGGACTTTTAAATAAAGAGCCGTAAACAGGGAACATCTGCTCTGCTTTGTCCTTAATGAGAAGCAGTCCCAGGGTAGGATTGAGAAGACTGAGGGAGGCAAGAATTCTGAATCCTGCCTGGGGTGGGGGATTACATGCAAGGAGGGACATGCTCTCCTTTAGAACAAAAGGGTGGGTAGAAAGACATGCATGGGGTCTCTTGGAAATCCTCCCAGCTTGGTATTGTCTGCAAACTTTATAAGTGTAGCCTCTATTATTATCTAAATAATGTTTGAAGATATTAAACAGGACCAGACCCCAAACTGATCCCTGCAGTATCCCACTGGTTATGCCCTTCCAGCTTGACTGTGAACCACAGATGACTACTCTCTGGGAACATTTTTTTAACCAAAACAAATTTTGAAATGAAAGATGGGGGTGTCTGGGGGAGGTTTGGGGGGCACAGACTCTCAGACAGTACAGAGGAGAGCAAACAAGCAGATAGTTCAGACAGGATCAGTGCAGATGTGTTCTGAATTGTGCATGTTCTAACATTTTCCCTGGAATAGTCCTAAACAGATTATTCCCCACTCGAATACCTCTATCAGGAAGATTTTCCTGGTATGCCTGTTCTTCCCTTTCTTAATTTCTTCCTGTTGACCCTAACTATTCCCCCATCAGACAACTCCTCTCCATACCTGTAGGTGGCTAGCCCATCCCCCTATCAATCCCACTGGGTCCAGTCTGGATAGCTTTACTTGTTTAATCTTTGCCTCCAGCCCCCTGTGGTTTCACGGGTGCCCCAGCTGTTTGGGAAGCTCCCCACAAGCTGGTGCCTGAGCCTTACAGTCCCTGACATTCTGCTGCTCTTCGCTCCCTCCAGTTTGTCAACATCTGGGCTACCCACCCTGACATGGCCTTTCCCTGCAGTGACCCTAGCGGGACTAGGGGTGGTGGGGAGGCGGCTGCGCAGATTCTCCCTCTGGGGCGCGAGACACAGCCCAAGAGGCAGACCCACACGTGGGAAGGGCCGGGATGACGTCACGGAGGGGGCCCTGGAAAGGGGTGGGGGACGGCGGCTCACTCCACGTGCAGGGGGCGGGG